TAAATCTACACTAGAAGTAAAAATAAAGTACAGAAGATGTCATATACATAAACATTTCTATGCGCAGTCAGTGTGTGTTGCTTCATTTTAAATTTATCCTGATGGATCAAAGTCTCGATAAAATCCAAAAACAAAATTAAAACCGGTTTCAAACTCTCTCATCATTCCACTTCGCACATAGTTATGAATGTTTGAAAATTATTAACTTTATTCAGAATACAGAATGTTACAAAATTTTGCTTGTTACCACTTTGTTTTGCGAAACATTTGAATGTGAAAATTTATACGCGAATTTATTTCTAACGAGTTATTTGATGTCAAACATTACATAACCTAATTGGATATTTGCGTATTACTGTTGCTATTATGTACGTTTCTTTCACCATGATAAATACATAATTGTATTTAATATCGTTTAAGTTCCTTCCCTCGTGAAGAACTTACTATAGAAATGATCCTATGAATTTCTAGTCTCTAGTCTTTGAGCGGGCGCACACTTCTGACTAAACTATCGCACAACTACTACTATATAAGATACTCATACATTTATAATACATATTATTTATTCTCAAGTATTTAGTTTTATTGTTACATCTTATTTTATTTATTCTATACATATATCATATATCATCTTGCATATTTATTTTTCTTTCATAAATTCATTATAATACCGAAACGCCGTAAGCGTAGGTTTTTAATTATTATTGTATAAAAATATTTTTCCTGCTGTTTCGATGCCCACGATACAGGCATTGCCTAGTGTGGGCATCACTAGATCAATCACATTTATCACTATTTGTATTTATCTTTTAATTGGTTATAACTTTTATTGTTAATTATTAATCTGTTTTTAATAAATTTCAATTTCAATTTCAATTGTTGTACGATTATCGATTGATAGAAATCAAAGCGAGATTAACAATTGTGCAATCGTTTAGTTTCAAGAGTGCGCACGCTCTTATAGTATAAATGTGCAACTAATTGTTACATTATAAACTATGTTTTCAGAGTCAGTCTGAGTCCGCAGCATCTGTACTTTATTATTGAAACGGCCGCTCTTTTGATGCAATATAGACCTTACAGAAGGTTTTTTAATATTATAAAGTGGCGAAGCTACCGCTGCTTATAGACATATGCAATTGCAGATGCGTTGCCTACCCTTAATCGAAGGAAGACGAGACGCACATAAACGGAATATTAGATAAGAAGTATTTCCTAGTTTATTATTGTGTATTATACTTACCTAAAGTCGTTTGTCTAATCCAGGATAGGAATGATAAGAATCCATCCAAATAGGAGAAGGAAATCTTTTTTCTGTAAGAACTTGTTTGGTTGTTTTACAACGCTAGTTGCGTTGTCAACGTAGGAGTTACCTACGGGCAAAGCGTGTTGTCGACGGCCCATTATACCCTTAATATTCCCTCAGCGGCCCGGATTTCCATTAAACTTTGTACATTTTAAACAGTCGCCTTTCGCGCCCACTTCAGAATTCATCGCATATTTTAAGGTCTCACAAAGTGCTTTGTTTAACTTTTTGAGCCGCTTTGGAGGGCGACGCGACGCGTGCAAAATGTTAACTTAAACATGTATTTAAGAGGAATTATTTTATGTGAGATTCTCGAATAATTAAACCTTAACGTGAAATAACGAGATACGACTTCCGAGTGTTTGTTGTATATTTCATAGAATTTAAACGTGAGGGCCTCCAAAGAGTAAACAGCTACCTATTAAGCTAGCGCGTACTATCTTTCGACTGCGTCATCACTTTCTTCGGGTTGGATCATGGTCAAGCGCTAGCGTAACAAATGTAAAAAAAATAATCAACTTTAGACCCGCTAAATAGGCTGTGTTGACACATTTAACTGAAGAGTCGAACTGTTTAGTTAAAACTTTGTATGTAGTTACTAGCTGTTCCCGTGCGGCTTCATCCGCACTAAATTATGAAAATTTTATTTTATTGTGTACATTTGTCAAATTATCAATAACAAATGTCAAACCTTGGCAATCTTGTTTCCTTGATGTTGGCAGCAACTTATGGTCTCTTTCCCACATTGGGGATTTTATCAAAAATATTTACCCCCTAAGTTTAATGGCGTTAAAATATATAGACTAAAGCGTGACGTAAGTGTAGGGCTTTTTGTTAAAAAAGGAATTATTCAAAAATATGCTGTAATTGCTGAGATTTTAGGCAACAAAGAAATGTGTATTTACGCTTTATTATAATAGTATAGATAATATTAACTATCAGTTTTTAACGGAGCGTGTATAGCTGGTTTTAATATAAGAACCTTTACAAAATCAGTAAAAAAATTACTCGAGGAAAATGTATGAAGTAGATTTAATTAGAAATTATCCAGCGCTTGTAGCTGACTAGTCTATTCAGTTTGTAAAAATATGTGTCAGCAGAGACGTATAATATACGGTATTTTCTTATTATGTTTATACATTCGTTTTATAAATCATTTGTTACTCAGCCAGCGAGCAAATATGCTTAACTAATTTAATTAACTCAGCAAACACGAGAGTAATTCCATCGTTTCCGTTGTTAGCACAGTACCAAAGCAATTTCATGTCCATGTTTAAATAGGAACGTATAAGAAACCCAGTGAAGTGCTTGCTAAATAAAAATTCAGCTTCGATATTCCTCTTTATGTGATTTAAAAAAAAAAAGTACATACATAAAAAAACTGCCATTTCCAGTCCATATATTGCTAGGGTTAAAAAACAAGTATTTTTAAAATAAACATCTATTTCAAAACCGAATTTAAATCTATACTCTCTCCCTTATCAGATTGAGATCTTTGATTTACTTTTTTATTTAATACTTTCACTGTTGCATTTTCTGTCCATAAATTAAAGTTAAAAATAAAATTGACCATAAACGTATGGAATTTACGGGTAGAAGCGTAAAAATAAGTAACCTTATTTACATATTGTATACAAGTTTTAAGCAGAATTAACTTGATAAAACTCATATGAGCGAATTTATATGAGAAATCTGTGTAGTACTGGGTGCAAAAAAACTCCCAAATCTCCACCTACAGCTGACCTATATGCAAATCGTTAGTGCTAACTAATAGAGCATTCTATTTGACACCTCAGTGAGACTGAATAGTGCTTTTGAACCGTGAAATTAATTCTACAAACGGAATTATAAATTGCTCTGTACTGAGTAAAGTTTTGATTGATGTAACCGTGAGTTTCCACTACCGAATCAATGGTGCAAACCATCTTGTCATCTCAGTTTTATTAAAGGGATGACAGGACAATGTGTTTTGTGTGAGTATTTTGACAACGAAAGCCAATGATAAAAATATAATTCATGTGTGTTACTAGTGGGGGACTGGGCTAGACAAACTAGGCATTAGTCTGTCTAGCCTAGTCCCCTCTCTAACTTTAGATTAGACTTCGAGCTCATCTTGAAGTGAGGATAACGATATTCTTAAATTATATTTGTGAGTACACGTCTCCCGCATTAATCATCTAAAAGGAGGTATAGGCACATTATGCGCAAAATATCAATGTACCGAAATTTGTGTAGCGTCAACAAAAAAATCTTCGCTTTAGTAGCACCTGTTTCGAATACTGATTATTGGACGATTGCTATCGCGACTCGCCCGCCCTCTGTAATGAGAAATATTATTTATTGCGCTCGGATAATGCGAGGCCGGAATGACCCGTTGTAGGGCAGGATCGACCCCCCGCCGTTATATGTGGGGGTTTATTACGTTGTTACACCCCATGTGTCCTAATGCACCTTTCCACTTGTTTTATTGCCACAGTAAGCTATTTCGCAACCGTTGCCTGGTAAAATACCTACTAAAAGCGACGATTAAAATCCCTTTATCTTTTGTTAAATAAAAGTTTTATTTTTAATAGTCTATTTAATCCACTAATTATATTATATACGGCATGAAATTTTGTAGTCCACGTCTTACGTGTTCAGTAATCCATCATTTATGAAAAACCAGCAATTTTAAAAACTGGGCTATTTGACCATTTACATATTAAAAGAAATATCAAAATTCTGTAAACAATGTACTAAACATTGTACAATTAAAAGCTGTCTATTTTGTTCATTTCATACAGCTTACGAGATCTTGTTGAAGTTAATACAGCGCTATCTGCCGTTGGAAACGTGAAACATTTCCCTCGAAAGCCTTCCGCGATTTTCATCCCGGCATCTGTTGGCGGCCGTCGGGAATGCGAAAAGCTCGTGCCTCCCCTCCCCTACTTCACTTGCCAGCGCCGCGCCCTCCTCCTCCCCCGTGAAAGCCTATCGATCGCCCCACGAGCACTACACAACCTACGCTAACCGAAGTGCACTGCCACATTTGCGGTAATTCCAAAATATTAACAGATTCCAGTACAATTGGTTATTTTACACAACATACAGGTCTTCCAGTATACATTTGTGACAATCTAGGAAACACGCAAGGTGAGTGACCTTTTATCTAACCCCCCACCATTCTAATAACGTTTCATTGATGACGTGGACTTATTCAAATACGATTTCTATTTATTTTGCTTGTATCGTTTTCTTCGTGTAAAACGTCACACTATATTGCGGATATTCGTTATTTAGTCATGTGTTAAAATCTCACGTTTCGGTGCAGCTGAAGTGGTTTAGGGCGATGCGTTAATGACGTCAGTGAGAACTTTCTGGAAATAGGTCGCGTCTGGAATAATTACGTTTAAAATGATTTTCCCTGGGTTTAACTACGTCCATTCGTACGTAAATCGTTACATTTGCTTTCGTAGTTAGTGTATTTCGCTTTAGAAAATAATTATCTTGTCGGCATAAAGCTAAATTTTCAATGAGTTTAATGTTTTAGATCTATGGGAAATGTGCAATAAGCAAGAAGCATAATAATACATTTATACTACTCTACAATTTTATCCTCTGTAACTAAATTAAAAGCGGAATCATTGACATTTTCAGAACATGAACACTACATGTTTTTAGTCATGTATCAAGGAATGTGTTTGTACGTTTCCAGGAGGGAGTGAGCGCGCAGCCGACGGAGATAACAGTCCACATTCAGCAGGACGGCGCTGCGCCCGACCGGGACGTGTTCATAGACGATGACTCCGGCTCCGGCCTAGGCATCGACGAGGCGTCCGGATCCGGCTGGGGGCCCGGTCCCGGCGTCGACGACGAGGACGGCCGCGGCTCAGGTGACGGCGCCGTCCGACCCGCCCTGTCCGGACTCCCCGAGGATGACGAAGACTTCGCGCCGCGCACCACAGTCGCTCCCGGCACGCCCGCTCCGCCCGAGTATCCGGACCTCCCCGAGCCGGACAACGCCCTCCCGAACCCGACGGCTCCAGAACCTACGATCCCAACACCAAAAGTCCAGCAGCCCGATTTAGTCAGTCGTGAGTAGAGGCCAGAGCATGCCGGTTTTGTTGCGTTAGACATTTTTAGTTTAACATTTATTTTTTAGCTATCCCAGCACCTATATACATCGATGTTTATCTGAGAGTTCACTTTGGTAAGGTAAACAATGAATTTAAAGTGTGAAAGCAGGGACGAATGACGTGAAAGGAAAAAAATATGAAAGAAACAATGAAAATGGGAACTCATAGTCTATGTTTAAAAACTTATTTAAAATGATTAACTACTATATTTAACGATACTAATCTAACTAACTTTATCGTAGTACAAAACAATACTCTTGCGACAGCGTGCGAAAATGAATAACAATTAAGATATACCAAAATTGCGTGCGTCATGTTACAGCGGCTATTGTCATAATTAACCTCAAAGTGTACTCACCATGAATCTAATAATTAATTAGATTTGTTAATAAACGCGTTAGTTTCCTCTAACACGTACTATTATGTGGATGTCAGTGTAATTATTTATTCAATGCATTGATATTAATATTTACTTATTTGTCCAATATTCGTGTTTAATCGACGTGGGAGAGATTTGGTAAGTTTTGTAGAATTAACACTGTAACAATTACTTCATATGTTTTCTAACCTCAAATTCGGACATTTGTTATTCAGCTCTTTGTACACTTCGTCCTAGTTTTACGAAAATAAAATATGCAAAAATATTAATTTAATTTACTGATGATATTCTTTATTAACACATTGATTTTTTTATTTTAACGCCTATTTTTATTTAATTTAATTATGACTTATATTGGTTCCGAATTTGATGTTAAAAATCTTACCTACCATAAAGTTGTTTAATAGATTACCCGTAGTAGATTTATCCTACTAAAATCTACACGAAGGGACGTCCTTAGTGCCCACTTAACTGAGTGTGGGATTATTGCATGATCATGTCGTATCAGGCTAATTCATTCGAGTATTTTTTCATCATACGTAGTTACTTAGCATGAACCCGATTTACTTTCCATACGCTTGATACAAATCATTGTAGTATCGGTGTATATTTTAAATTATTATTTGATATGTATTTAGTATTTGCCCCATCCTTCCCAAGAAATCCACAGTCCTAACTAACCCCAGTCTTCGTCGTCGAAATACTTTATTAAAACTTAAATAACATTATTACAAACTCTAACACTATTATAAGATTATATTCACATAGGTTTTAAGTTATTCTAAAGTCAGATTAACAATTTTTCCCATTATTGTGTTGATTTATGTGTGAATTAAATTAACTCTATTAATTTTAATATTAATTTTTAAAATTACTTAAATAGATTATGTTGTGAACATTTCTCAAGAGTAATCTACTAACGATAGACATGAAATACAAAACACAATACTATTAAAAAAAAAAACAAATAAAAACTGCAGAAGTTCCTCATTGTCTATTGAATAACTGAGTATTGTTGAATTCCAGCTCGCATACTAAAGGGTCAGGAAGGAGAAACGGGCGGGGAGCAGCGCGGCGCGGGGGGAGAGCAGCCCTCGCGCCCTGACGTCACAGATATCAACATATCCGGAGAGGACGTAGGACAGGAGATCGTAAGTACATTGTACTATAATTCCCCTAAATTGTATGGTTTAATGAAAGTGACGCAAGTTGATCTATCAGAACAGTTCAGGCAGCTTCACTGGTATATAAATACTGCACTTTTATGTCATTGATAGGGCGCCTATGAGGCTGGACGTTGCCAAAGGTTAAACCTTACTCGTAGAGAGATAAAATATTTGAAATAAGACCAGTTTAACGCTAGTTTTTGACCGACTTCCCAAAAGAAGAAGGTACTAAATTCGTCTGTATGTTTTTTTTACTGTCACTTGCTCATCGGGCTAGATAGGTCTTTGTGTGTAATGAACATCAAATCGTACAAATTACAATTGTCATAGAAAAAATAGTCATCAACATGTATGTCTTCTTCTAACGTCTGTTATCATCGTAATGAATGAGTGAACAATGCTGTCTGAATCAATCAATGGTATAGTATAATTTCCTTTTTCCTCACTTATAGCGTGGGACTGGTAAAGAATGCATGTACGCCTAACATTATCACTTTATTAATTTTGCTTGAATTATTGTACGAGTGTTATTTATTTCTGTTACAGGACCAGGTGCCGTCGGGCACGCACATCGAGACGGAGGCGCGGCCGGCCGACACCGGCGTCTTCATCATGAACGCCAAACCTGAGGACCGCGCTACCAGCTTCTTTGCGCAGCCAGGCATACTTGCTGGTCAGTATCTTATTATACAACAAATTGTCTTTACTAGAGTGATAATTGTTTATATTATTTGCAATTTTAACATTGTTGCATATCGTAAAAGTTTGCCAAAACGATCGAAAGAAGAAAGACGGTTGGCGGGAGACATAGGGAAAATAAAACAGTAATATGTCTAATATTGTATTTTGTCATTCCAGCTGTTATTGGCGGAGCGGTAGTTGGGCTTCTGTGCGCCATCTTAGTGGTAATGTTCATAGTGTACCGCATGCGCAAGAAGGACGAAGGCTCGTATGCACTGGACGAGCCCAAGCGCAGCCCCGCCGCCGCCTCCTACGGCAAGGGCCACAACAACCGCGAGTTCTACGCGTGAGACGACGCAGAACAAGACGCGCCACGTCTTTACTAGCAGCCGCAGATTAAACGTAACGTTTTTAATCTGTGGGAATTTATTGTCTGACTTTTCTTTGACAGTTGCGCGCCATTTTGAATCCTGTTTTAATCTTTGACGTGGCCAAAATTGTTCTGTGATCGTCTCTTACGAAATTTTGTTTACGAATTTTTAAAGGTTATCGTGTACGGATTGTACAACGTTGTGTACAAATCGGGTACATTAATTTGTTTGTAATGACGGACGGATATTTAATGGAATTTATCAAAATTGAATGTATTTAAGACCAAATTTTATATCAATCGACTATCTTGAAAGCCTAAATATTAATCGATGGTGAAATATTAGTTTCCTATTGATGTTGGTTTCTAGTTTAAGACCTATGGTTAATATCACTATATTTGAATCTGAATAGATCTTGTATGTTTTCTGTAAAAATAAATGTGCCATCCGCTTTCTTTAACTGTACATTGCTACCGCTGTAGTTTATTCATAGACAATCCAGTCTATGGTACGTCCATATCCCACGTATCTATGTAGTACTATGTAATTAATTATGTATGTATTTATAACCCGCTTTCACCTACTACAATAAGACAGTACATCAATAAAGAAATAAGGTGCTTCAGTAAGTTTTTGTGTTAAATAAGACATAATTAAGTCATCAACTAAGCATTTGATTTACTTCACATTAAGTTTTATAGACTGCAAAATACTAACACAAAAGTGACGTAAAAAATTAGTTTCTCGAATATAAAATTATTTAAAAACAATTGGATTTATGGATTTGGAGGTTATCGGATCAAAAATCCTTAGTTCTTTTACTATAGTTACAAAAAGCTATTATTTATTATAACTAGAAACAAAATCAAGCATTTAAAACTAAATTATGGCAGCTATATTTAAATTATATTAACATATCTCTTTTATTCTTGATTTTTTTTATTTCTACAATCTTTGTCTTGTCTATATTTTTCTAATCTATGTTTCTTATTTTTTATTCATATTTTTTTCCTATAAATTTCTATTGCTTAAAAACTGCAATATTTCTCATTCGCTTAGAAAGAACAAGTGTACATTTTTTGACAATAGAAATTCGTAATTAAATAAACTATAATTTGACTTTATTTTTTTTCTACTGTTTTTAATAATTAAGGGTTTTTACTAACATTTGGACAATATGTATTCGGATATTTTAGTCTAGTTTTTATATTAAGTTAAATGTTTTCTCGTCATTTTTAATGAAATTTAATTTTAACAAATAATTCTTTTTTTTTAGGTTGTGCAACGAATGTTCTGTTTTGTACTTTTGTGCCATTTTCACTTTTTAATGTTATTTAATACTTTAATTTGTGTAACTTGTGTTTTACGCAGTTTTACGTCGTCTTTTTTGTCAAAGAATAAAATCTTGTATTTACATTGTTTCGCTAATTTTTTTTAATAATATTAACTTTGTATGTAAAAATATATGAATTGATGCAGCTATTGGACATTAAATATTAATTAACTAGAAATGTCTAGAAGGTTAAATATATGAGAATAATAAATGGGTTTATACGTAAATCGGAAATTTAAAAAAATCTTTTGAAATATACATTTTTGTGTATGTATAGCTAACTGGCTTTTATTGTTTTAAATTCAATTGATTTTGCAAATTAAAAAATCAAAATACATTCCTAAGGGATTCATATATCCGTATAATTGTTATGGCTAGATTACTTACTAACGAACGAACTCGAAGGAAAATTGCATTACGTATAACAAAATAATAACGTAAAAATAAATAAGTACAGTGTAAATGCAAAACGTTATACGAAAAATTTAAAACTTCGATAGTAAGCAATTCCGTCAAAACAATCCATTTGAACGCTCACTAGGATAAGATCTGTATATTGTAACTGTAAAAACTTTTAGTACTAAAACCGCGTAAGTTATGCTAAAAAATGTCTTGTAACCAAAAATAATCAAAGATAACTTACTCCTTATAGATTATATGTATTTAAGTTTACTAACATCCTAACAGTAATATAAAAAGATTTTTATAGCTACAGTTTCTACAGATAAAAAAATAAAAGTAACAATATCTTTGCTAACGCCAACAAAACAACATTCTGTTGTTTAATTTTTTAATCTTTGACATGCATGTTTTACTTTATCTGTAGCTAATGAAACTAATCTGTCAACGTCAAAGTGACAAAATACATAACCTCATTTGTGTCACAAATTAACTTTTTCATGTTAAAAACATTTTTCTGAACGTTGTATGTAATATTTAATTGTCATAAGTAATTTAATTAGTATAACTTATGGTAAATTAAGATAAGGAAGAATTTGTGAACAGTTTTTCAAAATGTTTTTTTTCACATGGTAATAAAACAACTGGCATGGATTGTACAGTCTACGCAGCTATCAATTTGTCTCATTCAAATAGTTCTATTGACTGTACTTTGTAAGTTTTATAAAAAATAAAGTTCTTTCGGGCTTATTTCATCCATATTGAAAATTAAAACACAATTCCTATTAATATAAAGGGCACAAAGTAAATATGACTGCAATTTTTTTACTATTTCTAGTTTATTTTTATATCGCTACTTAATCTTTGATACTTGTTCTGTTTACACGTTTTTTTTTATTTGCATTAAAATTAAATTCTCCATGACGTATTTAAATCGTTTACACGTTTTTTTTATATATTCGACATAGATAACTACACAAGTTCCTTACACCTAAAATATTGGTGAAATAAGCCCTTTATCGCATTTTATAAACGTAAATGTTTTTGTTCACTTATGTGTCTGTTTATACTATGAAACGTTTAGACGTAGGGTAGGCATAAAATATCGGTGTCCACCTTGTAAATAATGCTCCTTTACACATAGGTAAATATACAAGGTCATCATGAACAATTTGTTGTTTTATTTATTACTAGCTGTTTCCGTGCGGCTTCATCCGCATAAAATTATGAAAATTTTATTTCATTATTTACATTTGACAAATTATCAATTACAAATATCAAAATGACATGACATGACAAACCTCAACAATCTTGCTTCCTTGATGTTGGCAACAACTTATGGTCTCTTTCCCACATTAGGGTTTTTATCCAAAATATTTACTCCCTAAGTTTAATGGCGTGAAAATATATAGCCTAAAGCATGACGTAAGTGTAGAGATTTTTATTAAAAAAGACATTTTCAAAAAATATGTTGTATTTGCTGACATCTTAAATCTTAGGCAACAAAGAAGTGTGTGTTGATTGACAACAGTGTGAGTGACAACAAAGAAGATTCCTTGAGTCTATTTTAAAGTTATTGTTTATGGCAATAATGATGAAATAGTGAAAATACTAAACTATAGCGTGCATTAAGTAATGGTAGCAAATTTAAAAGAAGCAAGTCCAAATTATGTTTCACTATTCACCTTTCATCATCTTGTTTGAATTGCATTTCTTACCAATAATTGCGAGCGCCATCTAGTGGTAAAAATGCAAATTGATATTTACAGTCTTGAAAAAAACATGAAATCATGTTAATGATTAATGTTGATAGGACCACATATAATAAGTAGTTATAATTTACGGGTTATTAAAAACTAAAATACATTGCTTTTGGTAAGTTGTACGATTAACTGGTAGATGGCGTTGTTATAATATTTTTAGTTTAAAAATTTCTTAATTTGAAAAATGCTATTTTAGTGCGTCATAGATATTTACGTTTACCGTTTAAAAGTTAAACATTCATTTGGTTAATTTTTGTAAGGTTATAACTAATTGTTATCAACATTTTGACTTTATTTTTTTCATAACTAATAATTTCATCAACGGCATGCTTTATAAGTCATATTTTAGTATTAACTTCAGAAATGTACACGTGATAGTGATTTTTTATCTTAAATTTCGTTTTTTCCTTTTTGTAACATAATTTTATCATTTGCTTCACAAGGCAGCGTGGCCGAGTGGTCTAAGGCGCTGGTTTTAGGCACCAGTCCGAAAGGGCGTGGGTTCGAATCCCACCGCTGTCAAACACCTTTTTGTTTATTTTTTTAATATTTTTTTGTAATTCAGTTTCAATTTAATTAATAAAAGTAATTTATATTCAAACTTGAGTTAGAGTTAAATATCGAAAGCCAACAAAGTACATTTATTTTGATGATTTTTTAATATTAAATTATCTACGCGGTAAAAAGAATTTTTTACAGTTACTACGACACATAGGGACGATAATATCACCTCTGAAATTGTTATAAACAGATAACATCTAACATCTTAACAGTTTATCTCAATCTTGTATGAAAAGTGATTACGATCACTACATAATATAAAACGGAGTTTAGTGCGCGTTAAATTAGCCATAAAGTTTTTTCTCCTTTAGAAATAAACTCGCACGAGTCATTATAGAATAAAAATTAAATGTTTTCTAATAAAAATAATAGAACAATGACAGTTTTACATAATTTAGACATATTTTAAATGAGAACTTTTTACAAACAGCACATTTTTTTAATTTCCGATACGATTTTAAGTAATCTCAGGGAGGACACTGCTGATCGTACTCCCGTAGTGTCGGCGCACCTGGTTTTCGTCTTCCAGGTTACTCTATCTTTGGTCATCTCAGTCACTCCCTTTGTCATGTCACCTATCACGCAATCCATCCATTTCTAAGACTTTCTCTACCGGCGTTGAGTTTTTAAAATTGCAATCCTGTCGTTCAAATACTGCAAACTGTTTTATAATCAAAATGAAGATAAGAGACTGTGAGTATTTGAAATATATTTTGCCCCAAATAAAATTAACAAGGCTTCGTTTCATCGCAAAAAATGACATACAACTATCACTACTTTCGCGCTCGTGAGATCAAATCAAAATATTAATTAATGCTGTACTAATAAATCAAGTTGGTCTATGCTAAATGGTACAGATAATAAATCAACAGCTATAATTTACAAAGAAACGTTTCAGGGATGTCCAATTTATTATGGAAATTAAATTGAAAATTACATCACTTTTTACGGTAAAAAAAATGTAAATTCAATGAAAAGTTTTTACGTTAATACTAAAATTATGCTATCATTTACGCTTATCGTAATTAAATGTTGATCAAGCATTTATGTTCTATTTAGTTTATTTTGGTACGAAACCAGAAAAATATTGATAGTTACATTGTTACATAACAGCAGTAAATACTAAGTGTGAATAAAATTTTAATATACTCTAAAAACTCATGCCGCGGCAACCCTGATCTTGTGGTATCAGATCAAACACCAGCGTGTTTTAATCAAGACGTACACGATCTCGGAGATCACACGCGAATTTAAAGATAAGGACACATTGTAATAGTACACATAGATGATATGGGATGCTTTTTTTTATGCATTTTTGTTCAAAAAACTTTTGCCTGGCAGTCTTTCTTTACGAAAGACCTTCTCAAAACTATAGAGAATGGTTACCTGAAGACAACCTATAGTGTGATTGTAAGATTTGAAACTATCATATGATTTCAGAAGACTGGTTAATACAGAATCGTACATTTAATGTAGTGATTTTTTATCGATTTTTGTATAACATTTTATACAAATTCACATATGTCATAATATAAATGCAAATGATTAGATGTATAGCTAAATGTTTACAAGCGTTTATAGCCCTAAGGGATAAAATTTGGCATAGATGTAGAGGATAGCGTGGAAGAACACAGGCTGCAAACCTTATTTTTAATTCCACGCGGATAGAGTCGCGGGCGAAAGTTAGTAATTTATTTATTAGGTGCAATAACCTTAAAAGTTTTTCATATCGAAATTCGAACAAGAATATTTTTAAATTACGGATGCATAATATTGCCAAATTGAATGTAAGTTTATCTAATGTTTTAGATAAAGCTAAAAACAAAACGTTTGTAAAATAAAGTTGTTACTAAGGAAGATGACATGTTATTTTACTGTTATAGAAATTAATTCAGACAAGGAAATTTTAATTAGCTAAAATTCGATCGACATAGAAACTGCATTTAATGATTTTGAAAGTTGACCGTTATGTTTTGATGATCGTAAATTATGATTTTATTATTATACCCTATAAACCAGAATTCAAACATCAAATATATATATATA